CAACTGATTAAAATGTGGCTATGGTACTACTATGTGTATATATGAATATGTACAACAGGTTAAAGTGTTGTTATGGTACTGTGGATGTACAAATATGTACAACTGATTAAAATGTTGTTATGGTACTGTGGATGTACGAATATGTACAACTGGTTAAAATGTTGTTATGGTACTGTGGACGTACGAATATGTACAACTGGTTAAAATGTTGTTATGGTACTGTGGACGTACGAATATGTACAACTGGTTAAAATGTTGTTATGGTACTACTGTGTGGATGTACGAATATGTACAACTGGTTAAAATGTTGTTATGGTACTACCATGTGGACGTACGAATATGTAAAACTGATTAAAATGTGTTTATGGTACTACCATGTGGACGTACGAATATGTACAACTGATTTAAAATGTTGTTATGGTACTACCATACCCTTTTAGTTGCTATTTTAAAATAATTCTATTGTACATACATTTTTGAAATAATTCTTAAGAATAGTTTTTTAATTATAAAAATATTTTAGAAAATGTTATTTATTTTTTTTACAGCTTCCAGTCAGTGGATCAGACTTTTCATCAAAAACACATGTATAGTAACCATAGGAATTTTAGGATTTGCCACAGGAACATATGCAAGTATGAATGCCATTATAGATGCATTTTTTTAGATCACCAGAAGAAAAGTTTAAAAGTTAACTTATGTCCTACCATCTACCAAGGTGTATGATATTTAGAATTCGAAGAAACTTTCCATCAATGATGACGTTGAGAAATAAGCACCACGGGTTATTTGTTAGGTAGTACTATGTTTGTTTATCATGAAACAAATCGTGCCTTGTAATTCAGTTGTTTTTATTCTATATCTTTATTGATTAGGAATACATCTCTAGTCTGTGTGTATGTTATGGAATTTTGGAAAAAGGGTTTTTTGTTAGAAGTTTGATGTAAAAGTTAGAGAACTTTAACTATGGGAAATAATTATTTATATCATCATTTATTAATTTTCTTGTAAATTCCTTATGTAATTAGGGACTTCCTGAATTATCGTGTGTTTTCTAATGATCTTGTTGACGTTGTTCAGTAGAAGTTTTAATGTACAGACTTCTATCTACTGTGGTAATCTACAAATATGTCAACTTACTACACTATTCAAAACGTAAAGGTCGTCCCTGTTATAAAAATTATTAAATGAATTGAACTGGGAATGGATAAAGAATAAGTTGGAGTTGAGTATTGTGTATCCAATATTTTGTTAGCTATGTATTATTGTTATTCTACAGAGAAAGTACTTTTACTCTACGTATTTATCCTGTCTTTTGAAGATGGACATCAGTATTGTATAATGCTTATGATTTGCTGTAAATTTACTTATTTCTTGTAAAATGTAAGTTACATTCCTATCTTTTATATTAATATAAATATAAGTCATTTATATGCCTATAGAATGTTTCTTATAAACACCTATGAAAATTCCTTTAATCCAAATATATTTGTTCTTTATTACTATGATGGCAAAAAAAATACCTTGATTGACCTTGTCATACCTTACAATAGTAGACTCGATACTTCACAGACATTTAATGTAGTTATATTTCCACTTGTACTCCTGTCATACACAGAATAAGTAGGATTAAATGATCTTGCTCAGAGTATTTGTTACATGGTAACTTTGTATTCCACATTACAGACAGAACAAATAGAAACATGTGATCTTAGGACTTGGAGAGTATTTGTTACATGGTAACTTTGTATTCCACATTACAGACAGAACAAGTAGGAACATGTGATCTTAGGGCTTACAGAGTATTTGTTACATGCTAACTTTGTATTCCACATTACAGACAGAACAAATAGAAATATGTGATCTTAGGACTTGGAGAGTATTTGTTGCACTTTTGTTTTGTCTCAGAAACAACTTTATCAATTATACAGAAACAAGAACAAAATTTAGTCATCTGGAAATATGGTTTTGTAAACAATGTTTTTAAAGTAAAAATACATAATAAACATTGAAGTGGAATCTATATTACATATGAAATGTAGATTATTTTTTTAATATATTCAGTTCTTTTATGTAATTTGTATATGTTTGAATTCAAAAGGACATAATTTATGAGTATACATATTTATTGGAATATTAATTTTATGTAGGGGAACAGTAATGAGTGAATCTAGAGATTTTCTTTTTAAGATGTGAATTTATTTTCTGTGTCTACTGATTATAATATAATGTTTAATAATTAGGTCAAGTTGGTTTAATGTCATTTCTTGTTAAGATATTGCAGCTGTAATTTGTGATAGTTGAACATGTTAATAAAGAATTTGGTTTTGTATATATTTAGTAGTTAAGTCTTCTGTTTCATCCTGGATGATGATTGGGTGTAAAAGATAATCCAGATTTTGAATCACAAATAAATCAAATTTCATATTAAGAAATCAGATATGCAAATTTTTTAGTATACAGGCATACTAGGTATTTTCTACACTTTAACTCATTAGTTCATCTAAATCTTATTAAAAACTGTTCATTAATGAATGCATGCAGTTTAATATATAATTTTGATCAAGGAAGTGGTAAGTTACTTTTAGTTTAATATAAAATTTTGATCAAGGAAGTGGTAAGTTACTTTTAGTTTAATGTAGAAATTTGGTCAAGGAAGTGGTAAGTTACTTTTAGTTTAATATAAAATTTTGATCAAGGAAGTGGTAAGTTACTTTTAGTTTAATGTAGAATTTTGATTAAGGAAGTGGTAAGTTACTTTTAGTTTAATGTAGAAATTTGGTCAAGGAAGTGGTAAGTTACTTTTTAGTTTAATGTAGAATTTTAATCAAGAAAGTGGTAAGTTACTTTTTAATTTATTGTAGAATTTTGATTAAGGAAGTGGTAAGTTACTTTTAAAATTCTACATTAAACTAATCAAAATTCTACAATAAACTAAAAAGTAACTTACCACTTTCTTGATTCTTCCTTGATTTAAAATTCTACATTAAACTAAAAAGTAACTTACCACTTCCTTGATTAAAATTCTACATTAAACTAAAAAGTAACTTACCACTTCCTTGATTAAAATTCTACATTAAACTAAAAAGTAACTTACCACTTCCTTGATTAAAATTCTACATTAAACTAAAAAGTAACTTACCACTTTCTTGATTAAAATTCTACAATAAACTAAAAAGTAACTTACCACTTCCTTGATTAAAATTCTACAATAAACTAAAAAGTAACTTACCACTTCCTTGATTAAAATTCTACATTAAACTAAAAAGTAGCTTACCACTTCCTTCGTTAAAATTCTACATTAAACTAAAAGTAACTTACCACTTCCTTGACCAAATTTCTACATTAAACTAAAAGTAACTTACCACTTCCTTGACCAAATTTCTACATTAAACTAAAAAGTAACTTACCACTTCCTTGACCAAATTTCTACATTAAACTAAAAGTAACTTACCACTTCCTTGATCAAAATTCTACATTAAACTAAAAGTAACTTACCACTTCCTTCGGTAAGTTGCTCTTCTCCTGTTGACCTTGATCATTTACCTATAGCATCACATATACTTCTTTTGTGGGTATGATTGCTGTAAAGTAGAACATACTATGCAGGGGTGGGTAATGATCTTTTCAACTGGTGGATCAGTTAAAATGTTAAATACATTTTCCTTTGTCTATAGATTGGAATTTTGGTTGTTTAAGTTGTAAAAAAAAGTGCTTTTCCAGAAATACTCTATCAACTGAGCTAAAGAATTAACCCACTAGGCACTTTTTGACTACTCAAGTATTCTGAGAAGAGAAGCACTGTGGAACTGTGTTTATACTTCCATTTTATAGTCTAAAACAAATCTATATATATTTTTAAAATCTTAATGAGATCTGTAGGTTTTTGAAAGATCCACTAAATGATATGTTCTTCTTTAACACTTGTTATTTTCATTTTGTTTTGTATTAAAGATTGTTTTATATTGTATCCAGTCTCTTTCTTCATTAAACTCGGTGAAAATCGAGAGAATACAAATTTACTCTGCATAACATTTTCTGTCAAACCTCATATTTTGTAGATTATATCTCATTACTTAAAAGGAAATCAGTGAACCAAAGAATACCAATGCATTTTATTTGTTGTAAAGACTATAATTTTAATATATTTTAAAATTCAGTCAGAAAGTTTAGTCAGAATATTATTATGTGAAAGCTTCCACCACCAGGTGTTCGATGACTAAACCAAGCTAAAGTGGCTCTGGTGCTTCTAACAGACATGTACATATCATTAACTTTAGTAATGGTTTCCCATACCCACTACATGTATTCTTTGCAGTTCCTTAATAATGCTTACTGTTTCTTTGAAGTTCATGATGACTGGGACAGCATGCAGTTTATATGCTGTTATGGTGCTTATCATCATGAGTTGGGGATGATCATCCTAATCTGTGTAGGTGGTTAAGCTATGATTTTTTCATCTACTGACCCATATTTTACTCTCAAAATGGCTCATTTTTTATTTTGTCAAAGCATTTTCATAACTTAGTCATGACTGCTTTCTATGGTAGTTGATTGGTGTCATCTATTACTGATCCAACTTTTGCTCAACTTTATATTTTGTTCAGTTATTGGAATTTTCGGAGGAGCTGTTTTGGGTTGCCATGAAGAAAACCTCTGTGGATAGAGAAAATAATTATTCTGGCTTTCTGTTAAGAGAATCCTAATGCATTGTGCTATTTGAGATGGTCAAACCCCTTGTACTGTTTTACTTAAGATACTGCATTGGAACTATATCAACAGGGTTGGTTCTTATTTGGGATTGCTGAGCATCCCAGTTTCAGACACCCTGCTGGAAAAAGTAAAAATTAGAAAGGAAATCTCACCAACATTATATCATTACATTCCATGTCACCACATCCGGCTGTGCTCTGCATGATGACTGTGCATTTTGACAATAGCCCTGCAGAATAATTTTCAGAACAAAAGGATTCCTCATAAGACTGTCATGTCCAATGCACACCACCCCTCTCTGAAAGCTTTCCACAATTCATCTAATGTACAAGGATTATAGTTTCCCAGCACCTGTTTCAATAGTACAATTGCACACAAATCTTAGGTGCTGCATTTGGTGACTTGACTGGTATACCTTCTTATGGAATAACCTGAATTTCCAATATTTATATCCATTATTTCTAACACCGAATTATTATTTTCCTTCAATTTTTTTCTCAAGACATGCTATAGCTTTTTTTTTCACAGGTACTTTGATAAACGTTGACACACAACATATAGCATACCTCAAGCAGCTGGAGAATGAAACAATTGAAGTATGTGTTAAAAACTTTTTTTTTTTTAAATTAATAGTAAAGTTTATAAACAGAACGAAAGTTTAGTTATGGGTTCTGTTATTATGTGATTTATTTATGGACAGTTTTGAAAGTGAAGCGTTATAAAAAGCGGATAAAAACCTGAAGTTTGGTTTAGGCATGTTGATGACACATTGGCCCCTTTATTTTATAATTACCTTAATTACATTGACAATTCTATCAGATTTACTTATGAAGTTGAAACAAATAGCGGTTTACCTTTTATGGATGTTTTAGTGAGTTAAAATAGGGATAAATTGGAAACTACTATTTATTGAAAACCTTTCTCTGTGATAAATCTGCCATATCAAAATTCTTGACACATTAACACTCGGCGCCCGGCATGGCCAGGTGGTTAGGGCGTTCGACTCACAATCTACGGGTCGTGGGTTCGAATCCCTGTTACACCAAACATGCTCACCCTTTCAGCCGTGGGGGCATTATAATGTGACGGTTAATCCCACTATTCATTGGCGAAAGAGTAGCCCAGGAGTTAGCGGTGGGTGGTGATGATTAGCTGCCATCCCTCTACTCTTACATTGCTAAATTAGGGACGGCTAGTGCAGATAGCCCTCGTGTAGCTTTGCGCGAAATCCATGACAAACTAACACTCGGAAAACTAATGTTTTTCACTCGTATGTAGATAGGACGATATTAGTAATGAATTATTAATTAAGTACATAGCAGTAGAAAGATATTTTAATCCTGATATTGTTGACAGAACTGCCAAAAAACGGGGATATAAATATTAAGTTAAAACCACCTGCTGATAAAAGTAAAATAAATGATTATCTGATGCTGTCATTTATACCTGGCTTATCCTGTCAAATAATAAAACAACTTAGAAAACAAATATATATATTTTTAGATATATATAGACTGATAAACAAAGTTAGTCAAATTCTTAATATAACTAAAGATATAATTGATTTAATGGAAAAATTTAGTATATTATAAAATGTGTGAATGTGAAAAAGTTTATATAGGAAAAACTAGAAGAAATTTGAAATTACGAATGAATGAACACAAAGGAAATATTAAAAACAATATTACTATTTCACCATTAGCAGAACGTATTAATGAATGTAAACACATAATTCAATGGGGAAAATCTGTTATTTCAGCACAACCTAAAATATTATTAGTATGAATATAGTGACGCTATTGTGATAATAAAAAAATTAAAATATTGAATAAGAATGATAGACCTGATGAAAATGTTGTCAGCGGATGGCGTGAAATTCTTTAATATGTAAATTTGTGATTTTGTAATGGTACAAATTAGTGTTATTTTTGCAAAACATTACACTCCTGAGAATGACGCAGTAAAATACGGCGAAACATTTAGAGTGTATGAGACTGTTTCCAGTCTCATCGGTTTTTTACCCTGTACAGTAACTTATTTGTATTTTATTGTAATTCTTAGACTGGAAAAAGTCTCATTTTTAAAATTGTAAAAAAATAATCGGTGTTGTATAAAATGAGAATTTTTAGCCTATACCTTGTTGATGTTTTCAGATGGAAATTATTCTTAATTATGTTGAGTATTGTTGCCTGGAGCGTGTGGGATGACTTTTGCCACCTTTCTGTTTGTAGATTTTCACTTATTAGATGCTAAACTTTCCTTGCGATGGCTGAGGTACAAATTGTTGCAGATTTCCTTCTGCATGGTCTTGGTTCACCAAGTCGATTCATATATTTTTTCCCAATTACCATAAAGTACAAGGGATATATATTTTTCATTGATGAGATCTTTATTTCATTTTTCTACGATTTATGTTTTCTTTGTCAATGGCTTGAACATTTAAAAATTCAAAAGAGTGGTTATAGCTAACCGTGTATTTAAATATCTGAGAGGGAGCTTTGAATCTTGTTGAAAGTTGTTTGTCAGTTTTTCCGCCGTACAACATATCAGTCTTCACGTTTTATTTGGTACACTGATATCTTGACAGAAGCAGGCCTAATTTTTTCGTTGGTAGGAAAGAAAATTTTACATTGAAATACATAACATATTCTAACAGTTTTTGACCACATTTTTCTGTATATAATGTAAAAAGTTAGGGATGTATGGCAAAATACCATAAATGGACAGGTTTTCTAAATTATTATTGTTTTTCTCGTTGACCTGTAATTCAGTTTCTACAGGCGGCGATGAAGTTTTAGTTACCAAATGTTATTAAATTATGGTTTCAAAATTTTTGTAGAAAACTGAGATATAGACTTGTATCTTCTTAAGTTTTCTGAAAGCATTCTTGATCCACAGATTATACGTTATAATAAAACATTTATAGAAGAATATCGTAACGCAAATGGAAAACCACAGTTGGGCTCATCGGTGAGTAAACAGGTAAGTTAAATGGGGTTCAATTAATGGAGGTGGACAGGGTACAGATAGCCCATCGTTTTAGCTTTGGGCTAAAGAAAATACAAAAACAAATTGTAATAACTTCTTAACACACTGAGAATAAAAACTTGAATAATTTAGAGGAATAACTTGTGAAAACATATTATTATAATTATTTACGGGTAAACAAGTAAATATGTTTTTAAAAAACTGAAAACAACAAATAAACTACCTTTCAAAAAGTTTGCTTAGCATCATTAGATGGCGAGCTTTGGTTTGTTTGTTTGCCATTAAGCACAAAGCTACACTATAACCACCACGACCATCGAAACCCGAATTTTAGCATTATAAAACATTAGACTTTCCGCTGAGTAATCTGGTTACGGCAGACTATGAATGAAAAATAATCGATGTTAATTGCCAGACCTGAAAAATGCAAAGGGAATGTTGTACAGGAACCTCAAAATTATAGTATTCAACGAAAAATTATCGCACATCGCAAAAAAAAACAACAACAGATATTTTAAATTAAGCACAAAATAGGCTCATTTAAAAGCACGTTTAATTTACAGCATCCATCGCATGAAATCGGCCTATTTCAATTGTCATACGTCAAAAGGCTTAGCAATGTGCTTAATTTGTATTGGCTTACGTTTTTTATTCGATGTTTAGTTTTATTGGCTATGATCTCAATTCTTTAGGAATTTTAATTCAGTGTTAAATATTGCGAAACTGGCAGCAATTCAATATTAAATATTTAGTTTCTTTCTTGACCAGCAGAAATTTTTTGAAAAACAGGAAATACGGGATTCGTGAAACAACTGGACAGTACTCGGTTGTACTAGAACTTAATAGAAGTTGTTTAGATGTAAGTTTGTTGTTTTTTTATTCGTATTAACATTTGAAGTAATTTAAGCCTGACGAAAGGAAATTGCTCTAGACGTTGCCACATAAAATAAATTAATTTCTTTATGAACATTGTATTTTTATAATAATTTTATTACATTGTATTAATAGGTCTACCAAAGACGTCCCAGTTTTTCTCTTTATCACAAACACTTGATCAAGTTGATGTTGAACTTGAAGCAGTAAAATTATTAAATTGTCCCAGTTTCACTGTGCCATACCTCAATGTGAATTTAATATGTATAGTTTGTCGTTATACATAACTCGTTTAAATTTTATTTGGAGAATTATCTTATGCATGTAAGCTAATTCAAAATCATATAATACACTTTCCTTCCATCTCTGCAATCTCAGACCTGTCACTAGAGCTAGTAGTAGGAGGCATCAGGAATTGAAATTTGAAGACCTGCCCAGTGGCAAAAAAAAAAACTAAGATTAAGAACATTTTTTGTTTGATTAGGTTTAGGTACCACAAGTTAGATGTGTTATTTATTTTACTGGATAAGTGTTTAAAAAACTTTGTCAATGGTTTCAAAATGTAATGCAATAAATTATTTATATAATATATATATATAAAATTCCTTAATTACTCAGTGATTCTTTCAAATTGTTACATAAGTAGCATATGGAACCTACTAAGAAAAATGGGAAAGTTAACCTTGGATACTAATTTTTCCTTTTGTCACTGAAGGTTACACCTTTAGTAGTTAAATCTGTGTAACTAACTAGTACACAAGAAAGGCAATTAGTAATAAAAAATTAAAAATTTCTTTCAGTTTATGTTCAAATTCATAAGTTAATACCCTTTCCACTACTCGGATGGAGTTTACTGATCCTTAACAATTCTGAACACCCAAATCAAGTCCTCTGTAAGCCCTTTGTGTTCTAGGAAAAAGTCCAAAACTCTTTTTTAAGTCGTTCTTACATCACTCTATAGACAAATCGTGCACTCTTCTTAACCATGATATCCTTCCTATATTAATCTTCAAAACTGCAGCCTCTGCTCCAAATGAGACCTTACCACAGTTTTATACAAAGCTACTGTTACTTTCTTGTTCATAAATCCAAAACAATTATAAACTGCACAAAAAGTTACATTTTCTCTTTAAATACAGCTGCATGCTGAGCAGAGAGTTTAATAACATTAATCACCCAAGCAATAAGTACTTTCAAAAAAATTCTTTTCCATTAATTGTTAAAAATGTTTTAATT